TTTTTTTTTTTTTTTACCTGAAATGTTAATTAAGTTAGGAGAGTGGGTTTATCCCATTTCCTTTTACCCGAGGGCCTGTTGCTATTACCCGTGATGAGACATTACAAATTTCCCATCAGCCCTTGAGATGGAGGGGGGTGCATTTAGGGGAGGGGGGATGGCCGGAGTGGAGGAAGCGGAAATTACATACCTGCCTGGATTTGCATAGCTGGTTGTCATGGCAACTGTCACAGCGGCATTGTTCCTCTCGCCCGGTCAGATTGTCAGCTCATCACTTAATCTATGATAATCATATTAATATGATTACATGATCATACATTATGTTAGAATATGACGGAATCTTATTCAGATAGCATTAAGCCTCTTTTCTAAATAAATATGTAAATCCTATAAGAACAAATTTTATTTTTTTTATCAGGACAAAATTAGAGCTTTTTAGTTTCATTTATAAAGTTCTCATTCGACAAGCCGATAAACTTAAAACGTTATGTATTGGTTTAGTCCATATCTTTTCTTTATTGACTTCTCTACAACTATAGCTCTAACATTTACTGGTCGGAAATAATGTGTTTTGTCAATGTTGTAATTTGTTATAAATTACACAAAAACAAAAGGTGCTTCTAGTAAAGTAGGCCAGTTAAATTTTTAGATCAAAAATCAAGTTTGATTCGTTCTTAGTATCCTTTGAAACTTTTAAATAGGTTTTTTTATAGAAAAAGAAAATATTCTTATAGGATTTTCTTTTCTATCCGATAATTACAGCATTGATAAAATTTTAAATACATAACTTTTATAATGCATCTATTACCAAATCAATTCTATAAGATAGTTCTTTGTAATAGACAATAATTGATAATGAGGGTAATAGTTGATAATAATACTAGGATAGAGGTTATTGGAAAATAACCGGTTGTAGGCTACTCCATTTTTTTTTTTTCCTCTCCGGTTACAACCATTCAAAATAACCGTTTTTTTTTTCGAGGGTAAATTTTTGTAATAGAAAGCAAAAATTAGCGAGAGCAGCAGAGATTTCTCACTGAGTTCTTATTTTCCGTATATTTTTATTGAAAACAAGTATGAATATAAATTTAATTGTTTCATTAATGCTAATCATAGAAATAAAAGTGAAAATTTCAACAAGTCATTGATAATATAATTTTTTTTTCTATATGTCCTAAGTAATAGCATTTACAATATATACAATAATAATTATGTATAAATTACTCTAGTAAACTTTGTTCTGACTGATCGTCATTGGTTTTATACTCTAAAAATGAAATAATAGATTTATAATAGCTAAAATATGATATGGATTCTTTTGATTGAACTCTATTTGCTAAATGTAAATACCTCTCTTATTACTTATATTTTAGTTGTTCTTTTATTTTAATATGTATTTTGGCCAGATTTAACGTTAATTTTTATGATCAATATTGTTATTCTTAAGGGAGTTTGTCTCAGAAAAAAAGATGATCCTTCTATTCTATTCTTTAAATGTTTTTATTTAGAAATAATACATTTTGTCACACTTAAGGGCACTGAGTACTAAAGCTGAGTGAAGCACATTCATACCATATATACAGTACAATAAAAAAAACAATTTAAAAAAAAATATGCATATATATAGCAAAGTCAAAAACTAAACTAAAAGAAGAAAATGTAACTTATAGTTAAAATTAAATAATATACAGAAATTCGTAGCAAAATTAAATAAATTACAAGTAAAAGGAATAAACAGAAAAACAAAGAAAACATTTACAAGAAAAACATTCATACTTAATTACAATATTTACAATCAGGCTAGAGATCTCCGAATCCAGTCCTTTTCCCCACGTGTGAAGGACAAAGCGAGACTCTAAGAGATCCCAGCGCTTCTCTCTCAGCCGCGTCGCCGGCATTACCAGTCCGGTGCAGACTGAGAGAGGATCTGTTCTTTTCTAAATATCTAACAAAAATCCAGTCAATCGTTGTTCTATAGTATGCAGTGCTTTCATTTGAATCATTCGAAATATCCAAATCCAATGTTGATTTCAATATGATATAATAGAAAGATTGATTTGTGGTTTCCGAATCCTCTATGGTATTTAAATGTTGATATATTTTAGTCCAAATATTCAAAAGTCAATACCTGGACCCTGAGGAAGGCTTAGAGTAAAAACTAGTAACGGGCTAAGTAACTGGTTCCTTTTAGGGTGTTACCAGTTATTGTAAAGTAATAGGAAGAAGTTAAGGACCAATGAAAACTAATTTTCTACCCAATGAAAACCATCCATTCTGCACTCTGAATATTTGTATAGAACGAGAAGCAAGAAAAGAGGTCTTATTTAGATGTCCGGCCTTGAGGATAGATCTTCTCATTTTTTCTTCCGCCTTGGAAACTGAAGCCTTGGCCCAACATAGACCATGAAGATCCAGGCAAAGTTTTGACCAGGCCTTGAAAGACAACCTCGGATCAGCAGATGCAGCGATGAAATCTACCAACCACACCACTTCATAGACAATAGATAAGTTGTAATTCGCAATCATAATGTTATTATATTTCATAGAAAAAATTCTCAAAACAGTCCATCTGAAATCATACCTTCACAGTCAATTATTGAATTCATTGAATCACGTAATTTGTTCTTGGAAATATAATTTGTATATATTGTTTATTAAACATAGAAATAATTTATGTTTTTTAGTAAAAGATATTTTAATTCTGCCACTTCTTTATATCATGATGATCACAGGTAATGTGTGTAATTTTTTTTTTTTTTTTTGGTTTATTGATAAATATTACAATCTGTCTCAATAAAGGACATTTATAATAGAGTTCTGAGAGCACATTAACACCATATTTACAAATTAAAAAAAATAAGCTAACTTCAAATAATATAAAGCTACAAAAGAACAAAATAAAATATCATAGTGAGAAAAAAAAAAAAAAAAGTAATGAAAATAAACATCTTAGACGCAGGCATACCTATTACACTATTTACAGTCGGCCATAGGAACTCCGAACCATACTTATCCCCCCACACGTAGAGGGAAAGCAAGGTTTTAGGAGATCCCTGCGCTTCTTCCTCAACCATTTCACTGGCATTGAAAGCCAGCGGAGATTGAGTAAGGGCGATACAACCACGGACACTCATGACTTGAGTGGAGAATCTGGCCATTGCCAGAACTCCAGTATATACATGTTACAAAAGGTCACGGGGCCACTGCCGTTTCAGCCTGCGAGGAGGATTGTAGGGATGAGTGGTGCTAGATAGGGATTGTGCTACGGGATTTGGGTGATGGGTAAGGTTCTGATGAAATTTGGAGAATTTGTCTGGGATAAGATCAAGAATAAATGGAATATTAAGGTCATTGTGCAGGGTTTTATTAGAGACAGAAAAGGGAGCATCGGCTATTGTACGGAGGACTTTGGACTGGAAGGATTGAATACGTTTGATGTTAGAAAATTTGGTTGTCCCCCACAGTTCTAGTCGGTAGGTCCACATGGGTTTTAATATTGTCTTGTAGATCAGTAGTTTGTTTTCAATAGAAAGTTTAGATTTTCTATTAAGTAGTCTATATAGCTGGCCATAACGTCAGTTAAGTTCCTGTCTTTTCAGTCTAGTATGCGGATTCCACGTTAGTCGTCTGTCTAGGAGAAAACCAAGGTACCGGACTATGTCGCAGAAGGGAAGCTGGATGGTATTAAAGTAAACTGGTGGACAGGAATTACGACGAAGGGTGAAGGTTATATGTTTACATTTGGATTCATTGACTTTGATGCACCATTTCTTGCACCAGTGTTCAATCAAGGATAGGTGCCGTTGCAGGTTTCTGGACGCTGTTTTAGGATCTGAGTTAGAAGATAGGATCGCAGTGTCATCAGCGAAAGTTGCCAGGAGTGTATCGGGATGGACGGGAATGTCAGCGGTATAGATGATGTAAAGGATGGGACCCAAGACGCTGCCTTGAGGAACTCCAGCCTCAATTGAATAACAGTCGGAAAATTCTGTACTTCAGCGAACTAGAAAGGAGCGGTCGGAGAGGTAGGATTGGAGTATTAGGTATAAGGACTATGGTAGATGGAATTTGAGCTTGAAGAGCAGTCCGGCGTGCCACACCCGGTCAAAAGCTTGCGCTATGTCCAGAAATGCACTCGAGCAAAACTGCTTGTTTTCTAGGGCTGAGGATATGTGGTCAACAACTCGGAGTCCTTGTTGGACGGTAGAATGTTGGGAACGGAATCCGAATTGATGGGTAGGGATTTTACGGGAGTCTATTAAGGGTAGGATTCTTTTCAGGAGGATCTTTTCAAAAATTTTTGAAAGAATTGGGAGTAGGCTAATTGGTCTATAGGATGATGTATTATTGGGAGGCTTGCCTGGTTTCAGGAAAAGGATGATGGTGGAATGTTTCCATAGGAGAGGGAAGTGGGTAGTTCGGAGGATACAATTGTATATATAGGTTAGAAATATGATGGCTTTGGATGGTAGTTGTCGTAGGATCTGCGGGGTTAGAAGGTCGTATCCAGGAGATTTACGAGGAGTGATTTAATGTGTGTAATTAGAAAGCATGATAAACACAAGAGAGAGAAACACTTTATTTTCATAAAATATAAAATATAAAGGATTGCTGCCCAATTATATTGGGTTGCTATACACACAGCATACTCTTCTATCCTTAGGACAATATATGAACTTATATATAAATATACAGAAGTATTAGTTAATATTAGTAAAATGTATATATATATATATATATATATATATATATATATATATATATATATTTATATATATATATATATATATATATACATTTTTATTTTTATGTTTTTTCCTTTTTCTTTCCTTTCATTGTTTATGCTTTTTTTTTTTAACATTTAGTTTCCCTTTCTCTCACTTCTCTCTCTTTATCTCTATTGTTTTCAATTATTCATTAAATAAATAAATAAATACATAAATTAAAACTCTCGGGCTAGCCATGCACGTGGTGGTGAATGATTCCCAGCTAGTCGAGGACTATATTTCAGCCAACCTCGCTACGTCCTTAATGTCGACACCTAGTTCCTCGAGGAAGCTCCTTGTTCTTCTTGGGATAGTTCCGCGAGACCCAAACCAGAGGCCTCTCACGGTGAACTCTCTCTCTCCGAAGGTCTCACGGAATTTATCTTTTAGGAAAGGGATACATTTATCGTACGTGTTCTTCTTTTCCCTTTCCACTTCACGCGCCTGATCGAGGTCATTGTTCTCAAAGCGTATTGGAGAAAAGAAATCCAATAAATTAATTCTGGACCAATCAATATATTATACATCCAAATTTATTTTACTAATTTTTTATTGAACATTTCTGGGTAATTATCATCAGTAATTATCCAGTGGCATCCCGAAAAAATTTAACACCCCAAAACTTACTATATTATTAAGTAGTAAAGTTCTCCTATTTTTATTACTAAAAGCTATACCGTACAAATTGACTTGGAAAGCTTATACTATAGTTCGATGACTAAACTTATTACTCCCGAACAGTAAATGTTAGGCTAGAGTTGTTCGTAGAGAGGCCAAGAGAGAAGAGAGAGAGAGAGACTAAACTAATACTGAATGTTCTAAGATTGTAATCGGATGAGAACTTTATCAATGACACCGGAACGCCCTGGTCTCCTCGAAGCCTATTGTTACCTCCCCTACGTGCCACCTTTAATTTAGCTCGTCTCCGAACAGTCGATACACAAATCACAAAAGCCTTATAAATTATTCATAAATGAACCCTGTTCAAATTGTGAATAGCTGAATCAGATTTTGAATAATCCCGGCTTGACTTCGATTGATTTTATGCCCGAGCTGAATATCGATTATCAGAAGTTCCCTAAATAAACAAACTCTTTGACAAAATTTATTACTGTATAAATTTAAATATATATGATCTATATTTAAATTTATGTAATTAGCAATGTTCTTAGTCATTAAGCTTATCTCTATTAGGTGCGGAAATCGGTACACTGTGGTCGGAGAAAGCATAAAACCAAAATCCTGAATAAGACTTTTTTTTACTAACTAAATAAAGTAAAAATTAATTATTATTTACTGAAAATAACAATGAAATCGAAGTAAAGACAGGAATTGCCTTGCCAGCAACATTTGGAATCGACCAATCAATAACGTATAAATTAACTTTTTGAATAAAACTTTTTTTTTTATTTCTTTATGACATTTATAACTGTATTACATAAATACATCAAGTAAATTTGGACATAATTGATATAATGACATGAATACACTTGCTGAGTAACTACCCAATGGTAGCACTCTAATGATATGACTACATTAGGAGACACGGGGCCATCTTCTTTTCAGACGCCTCGGAGGGTTATCAGGAATTGAAGAGGAAGCAAGGTTAGAAACGAGAGGGTTGGGATGATTCTGAAGTTTGTTATGGAAGGATAGGTATCTGGATTGGGCCACATCTGAAACATAAGGAACATTAAGATCTTTATGGATAATTTTATTAGTGACAAAGTAAGGAGCATTGAGGATTTTACGAAGGATTTTGGATTGTAAGGATTGGATGTTAGAGGAATTCGATGGTTTAGTGGAGCCCCATAGCTCAACTCCGTAAGTCCAAATAGGTCTTATTATAGTCAAGTATATGAGTCTTCTGTAATTAATGGGAAGTTTAGAGCGTTTGTCTAGTAAGTGCTGAAGTAATCGGAAACGTCGAGCGCTTTCTTGTCGTTTCAGTCTAGTATGAGGATTCCAAGTTAGTCGTTTGCCCAGGTGGAGTCCTAGATATCGGATTTGCTCAACAGGGATAAGTGGAGTATTGTTAAAGGAAACTTTAGGACAGGAAGTCGTTGGTTTACGACGAAGGGTAAAGGTAATTTGGTGGGATTTATTGGAGTTTATTTTAATTCTCCAGTTTTGACACCATTCTTCTAGATTTATGATGCGTGATTGAAGCATTTGGGATGCAATTGCTGGGTCATTGTTAAGATAGGATACATGTGTCATCGGCATATGTGGTGATGACAGTGTTGGAACAGATAGGGATGTCAGCTGTATAAACTGTGAATAAAACTTAAAATGTCATTACCAATAAAAATATTGTATTAACCTAACTCCTATTCCAAATTTCACAACCAGCATATAATTAATAGTTATTTATATCAATTATAATTATTAAATGAAATTGGTACTACACAATTTCTACACTATTCTCCAACTTTCTACTAAGTTTGGGTAAAATTGAACCATCCGTTTTCAAACTATAGGTGTATCAAATAATATATTTACTGATCCGAAAGCGGAATATTTTTTTTAGAGTAGTGGATAGAATTTGATAAAATTATTACTTAATTAATTACCTGTTGACCAATCTCTGGCTTCACTCGAAATTTGAACCAAATCGAACTATCGGTTTCAGAAATGACGGAATGGACTTGATCCGTAACAAATAATAATAATAATGATATTAATTTAACTTTTATTTTGTTAAATAACCCAATTGGTGAATCATGTATTATCTTTTAGTTTCTCACGACTCAAATCATAAAAGCACAAAGCCAGGTCAAGCTATCTCTAATAGCTTAGAAAAAGTTATCTAGAATGTACCGACTGGACAGAAGACCCATTATCAGCACTAAGGGAACAATAACCGATTTTAGCAAAAGCGCACTTTCTCACAGACATCTTAAGAATATTAACTATTGATAACTTCCTTTGCCGTCCTCTTCCGACTTCTCCCACTCTTCCCTTCACCCCCTCACTATTCTTGGGTACATACGAATCACTGCCTCCGATTCGTTAACTAGAGATATAGACATATCACGAAAAATATGTTTAGGCATAGTTAAGAAAAAGCAGTTGACGGAATGCAATGAAATCGATACAGCTTCATTTTTTCACCAAGGCCTATCTTTCTTCCAGCTTTGAGTCAAATCTAAGGAGTCGTTTCTGAAATATTGACATACCTATGGATATAAATTTGGCGTGCGTTAGCGGAAGTGTTAAATGGAATTTGATGAAATTGATATGTACCATTTAGACACCTATTCCGTGAAAATTTCATTAAAATCGGGTTAATGGTAGTATGTAATATGCCCGTTACATCGATTTGACTACAGACAGACGTAGAACCGAATTTGAACCTTGATGTATGAAACTTAAAACGCGAATGAAAATTTTCGATTCTGACCACCTAATTTTTTTTTAACCTTCCGCACGAATAAAAAGCTTCTCTACCTGCCATTTTTTTTTCCGGCACTTTATATAGTTGTTGAATGCTTTGTGACTAGATTCCACGGTCTACTATTACATGAAAAATATAGCACTTATATTATTCATGTTAATGAACGGTGGACCGGAAGGGTAGTGATAAATCGATTAGGTTGGAAACTATTGAGAGCAGGGCATTCTTTTGAAGGGACCCTGCCATGTCGAGGGAGGGTAGAAGCTTCGCGCGGGCGGGCAGGGACCATATGTCCGCCCGGCATAATCCCATTTCCCGATACTGCCCTAACAATGGACTCTTAGTCCAACACAGCCTGACACTTAAAAAGCTCCTCTCTCTCTCTTCTAATATAATTTACTTCCATAAAAAAAAAAAGTGTTTAGTCTTTGAGCGAGGGTCGACCAGGGTTAAAAGATTTAGTAGTGTCCATATATATTCCTAGAGTTTTTAGAAAATCAGCCATACTTTAGTTAATGATGTTAAGAACCGTAAAACTAGATTAGCATTAAAAAAATGTTCTGTCATAATTAATTACAGAAACGAAACATTGTTCCTAATAATTTGGCAACTTTTTTTCTTATTTAATAATGAAAAAAATTATACTAGCATTACTGTGCAAAGACTCTAGCTTTGCATATCAATCCTTCTTCTTCCCTTTATATTTAAGGTATAACCAGATTTTTTTTTTTTTACTTTTCTACAGCTTATTTTAGATGTTATAACAAAACCACCACTTTTCTAGCGTCTTTTCTTTGAGGAAATATTTTATTTACATAAATTTAAAGAAGGTTGAGAAGTCTTTAGGCGAGTTATGTAAAATCATTTTATTAATTTAGGCGCTCAAGTCTATAGCGATACAGGTTTTTGAAACAAACGGTCAAATGGTAGGATTCTCGGATGACCTCTGACATTGATCCCGAATCTGAAACAATCGGCCTAATGCTTTCGGAGAAAACTCAGGAACGGTAGACAGATGATTTTATATATATTTCTGCCAGATGTCTATAATTTTAAAGAATTGACTATCGTAAGGGGTTTTTAATTTCTTTTGTGTCCATAATTGTGACAGATTATAATATTTCCAAATAAATAAATAAATAAAATTCTTTTGTATTTAGGCTGCAGTGGGTGCGTTTATATGATTAAATAATTCACATCTCGGTGCCAAGAGGGGAATTTTTAACTCGAATTAATCCTTCGCCTTCTTTTCTGAACTGGTAAAAACTAAGCTGAAAGGCTGGGAAGGTTGAAAATAAAAAAAGGTCGATGTTTTTGTTTTCAAATTTCGGAATTTGCGTGTCTTAAAATATAAAGTCTGAAATTTTGAGAGAGATGTAACTTTTTTGAAGTTAATTCTTTAGGCGCGTTTTACACACCTTCTGTAGAGAGTGAATTAGACTTAGCTGTCAGATCTCTAATGTGTTACGCTCGGCTAAAGTCGGCTGGATTCGACTAAATGGAGTGTTTTTGCATGTGGATTAAAAGATCTCAAAAACTAAAAATCGGACCAGTATATTGTTAGCGAGAGAAATTTGTCACCATTTCATCCTCTTTGTAATGAGCAATTATTTAAAACTGTGTCTTAACGTGATGCCGTGTTAGAGAGGCGAAAAGGAAGAAATAGTGTATAAAACCAAATTATCAAGTTTTATGGAAGATATAAATTATCAGAAACTAAAAATCGGACCTGCGTACTGTAAGCCAGGTAAAAGTTAAGCTCTTTAAAATGAGCTATTATTTATAATTTAAGTTTCATATTATAGACCGCGCCTTATTGATGTTTTCACTTCTATCGTGTGGCCTAAAACACACATCTTACTTTCTTTTATTTTATTTAGCTATGGCTGATACAGTAATTACGAGATAGCGTCCAGGTGCCAGATGGGGGGCTTCCTAACTCTGGTATTACCTGTACTCTGGACCGGTAAAATCCCGTATAGCAAAAAAGCCAACAAAGGGTGGACAAAAATAAAAGGACGGAAAATGTTTTGTTTTTTTTAATTTTCGAAATCTGTGTGTCATCAAACGTAAAACCATAAATTTTGAGAAAAGTTTAAATTTTTTTTTATGTCGATTACAACGATTCATTATTGAAAATAATAAACCATTTTTTTTAATAGTGCGTATAAAGAAAAAGTGACCGTTTTATTAAATACAAGGTTTCAAATCATTTAGAGCATTCTCTAAGTTTGTTTAATCCCATTCGACTTCTTAGTGTAGATATTTGTTTCAAAGTAGAAACATGCCACTTTTCTAAGAAATTCATGTCATTTTATGTCATTACTAGAAAAAAAAAAAATCACAGTCGCTAAAGCAACTCGTAAAATTAATAAATATGTAGAAAAAGGTGTCCTTGACCACCGCGCTGCGCGGAATGGTTTGAAAACTTTACACTAAACAAAAAACTATACTTTGAGTATAAATTGTATTTTATATCAAAGAAATGATAATACAAATATTTGGTAGAAAAGCGGTCTTTTTTTTTATACATCCTATTATTTTCATTTGAGTTTGTCAATTAAATTAGTCTTATTTTCAATCCAACATATTGAATATTTGATGAAACATTGAATTCAATATTTTACAGGTTACATAGACAACTTATGTATACCCTTTGGAAATTATCTAATTTAATAAAATTGTCATTTATCAATGTTGCAAGACAAATAGGTATGGCTTTAGATTTTTTTTTTAACAATAATGTGCCTTTAGTAACTAGTAAAGAATGTATGAAAAAAGTATATATATATATATATATATATATATATATATATATATATATACAGGAAATATAGATCTCTTTCTTCAGTTGAGTGCAGAAGTTGAGTGAGTATAAGTCCAAGTTATATTCACTAACAGTATTTACTTCCAAACAGTTGCATTGTAAAAGAAACTCTTTGCGGAGATATTCGAAAAATGCCGGTGGGGTCCGATCCCCTATTGTTGACTTTTCCTTTACCCCACGTCACATCGATACTCAGCCTGTGCTTTAGGGTTGGTAGCAGATGTCTTAAAAAACTCCGATCGGTACTCAACAGCAGAAGTACACGTTGTAAGGGCAGTTTCTTCTGAGGGGTAGGTCGATTCCCGTACTCACAATACCTCAGGATGCATAGTATTTCAATCTGTTACACGGATAATGCAAAAGAAGATACCTTGCTTTTGTATTTCTTAATAATTCATGACCCTAGAGGCGAAATGCAATTTTTTTGGAAAAGTGCATAACTGATTTTGATGTAACGTGGGCTAATTCATTAAAGGAATTTTGACTGGAAATCCTGATTTTTTTTTTTTTATTCTCATAATATTAACAATTAACTACTTACCTATCTCTAAAGTACCCTAAATTTCAGTTTCGTACGACTTTTGATTTTTTAGTTAGACATTTTATGAACAGATAGGTCCTATATGTATATATAATACTATAATATCGAATAATTAGCACAGTAATATTTTTTTTTTGTTTATAAAAAATTTGTTATTGCTGACAATCAGCAAATATGCTGGCGATACAGAAAATAATGGCATGGCAGGCATGGGGAAGGAAACTGCTCAGCAGTACCTCTTCCCTAACTTGTTCCAATTATTTAGGTTGTCTAAGGAAGAAGATCCCTCATCCAACGCCTTTTTAGTCTCCTCCGCATGTTCTGAGCTATGTCATCTGTGGCCATGTCTCTTATTAGTCTGTTATTATGTCCGTTCAAATTAGCGTGAAATCGTAGAAACAGGATCGTTATATGTTGGTCAACTGTTGGAAGGTGGAGATCAGTATGTAGAGTTTTATTAGTCACGTACCAAGGTGCTTTTTTTATGAGTCGCAATAATGATTGGAAGGTTTGAAGTTTTTGTTAGTGGGTCTTTTTAACTATATTTTTTACCGTATATGTGTGATGAGTACGTCCATATGGGTTTATATAAGTAGGTATATGTATTCAATTTCTGCTTTAGTTTTGGCGGTTTAGAAAAAAGAGATTAAAGTAGTTTGTGTCGTTTGTTAAGTATCTTAAGGTGAGTCAAAGGTAAAGTGTCAGTTTCTTTTGAGGAATTTGATTGTTTTTAATAAACTCGTAAACTGGAGGTCAGGTGTTTTTTCGAAGAGTAAATGTTATATGTTTGGATTTGTCATGATTAACTCGAATTTTCCATAGTGTGAACCAATCTTATAATTTAAGTATGTGATGTTGTACAGTTAGTGAGACCTGTGTAGGGTCTTGATGTTTTATGAGCATTGTTGTTTGGTCTACATAAGTAGCTGTCAAGATCTCATCGTTAATATATATATATATATATATATATATATATATATATATATATATATATATATATATATCGTAACTGTATATAAGGTAAAGTAGAGGAACTAGTACTGAACCTTGGGAAACTCCTGCCAAGATTGGACGAACTGAAAAAAAATCTGTCAAAGAGAAAATACCGAAGAATAAGATATTACGTGTATGGCAGTACAGTCATCAAATGCCTGAGTAACAAAAAAACTCCAGTTGCATATAGTTTTTGTTCTAAAGCTCCAGCAATGTAGTCTGTAACTCTGTGCAACTGATGTGTCGTCGAATGGAATGTACGAAAGATGAATTGTTGGTCAGGTATTACGTGTTGGTCAGTCAATATTGAAAATATAAAATCAAAATTTTGTTTAAATTCTAAAATCTCTAAATTTACAAATAATACCTTCTTATGAGACTTGGACTCAGGTGACCTTGAAGCATATATTTCTGGTGAAAACTTAAATTCGGATTTTTTCAGATTCTCTGTAATTATTTATAGCTTTCTCTTGCTATATTTTTCATATATGGATAAGTAAAAATAAAAATATATTCAGTTTTAATTTATAACATTCATTGTTATAAGAGATGAGTTTATGATTAATAATGCTAAAAACTCGTTCCTGTTTCCATTTATTCTCCTCGATGCTAGGTTTTGTCGTTTTCCCTAAGGCTGCCGACATGTAGGAATTATTAATGGTTCGGAGTGTGTTTTAATTTAAAACTTTCATGACAGAAATGAATGAAACGCTTTAGTTAATAGAAGACTTAAGTTGTCCTCTTTTCCGCCTCCCGTCCCAGCCTCGTATCTCAATCCCCGTCCAGTTAATATATTTATGTAAGCAGAACGGCCGAGTGTATGGGGTCTCGCTGAAATTTATCTAGAATTAAGTTTGCAATGTTGTATGTATTCATCAATCCATTAATTTAAAATTTAGAATCTGCTTTTCACGAAGAATTAAGACAAGCAGGAATATACAGA